AAAAAAAAAAAAAATACGCATAGTTTGTCCGACGAGTGTAATTAATTGAAAACTTTACGCGCCTTATACCCGTGATTAGCTGTTTGTCCCCTCCATTTTTCTCTCTCCTCGGATTCTCTCACTAGAAAAAAAGTCTCTCTCTCTTCCAATCTGGTCGCCCTTTTTAGCGCGTTCACGCGTACTCTTTGCCCCTTCTTTGTGGTATATATATTCCCTCCCTTCATCTTCTCTCTCCAGTTGGTGCAGAACAATTCCCACCTTTGCATTGTTCTCTGCATCTGCCACTTCCCATTTCAAAATATCTTCCTATACATCCCTTCTTCTCCATATTCTCACACACACATTGAAACATACCACATAACTATTAGTTTTCTTCATCTCTCCAAAGGGTCATTGTTCTCTGCACCTGTTCTCCTTACTCCTTTGTCGTCCTTCGCTTACATAAATTTCCACAAAAATTTAGATTCTCTGTTTTTCTATCGATTTTCTTGCCATTTTCCCTAGAAATCTAGAAGGGTCCTCAAGATTTCTCTCCAAAATGCCGTCATTGGAAGAAGAATTGTTTCCATCAACACCAGGTAAGTTCAAAGATCGAACCCACACAATGAACAGACAATTCCAACGTTGTTTCTCTTCGACGACCACAATGTTCCTCTGGGCACTCTTCTTAATCGCCTTAACGGCGTCGTATCTGAGCTTCCAGTCTTTCGTTGATTCCGGTAGCCGGTTCTTCTCCTCCTCCTGGGGTGGGATCCAATGGGAAAGACAAGTCCGTACATCCGGCCAACCTCGCCGGCCGAACGGCTTTTCGGTTCTGGTCACCGGCGCCGCCGGCTTCGTTGGGACCCACGTCTCATTGGCGTTGAAGAAGAGAGGAGACGGCGTCGTTGGGTTAGATAATTTCAACAACTATTACGACCCATTGTTAAAGAAAGACAGAAAAGCCCTTTTAAATTCCCACAATATTTTCATAGTGGAGGGTGATGTTAACGATGCGCGCATGCTTGCAAAGCTCTTCGATATTGTAGCCTTTTCTCACGTTATGCACTTGGCTGCGCAGGCTGGGGTGAGATACGCCATGGAGAACCCACATTCTTATGTTCACAGTAACATTGCTGGGCTTGTGACGCTCTTGGAGGCCTGTAAGAGTGCAAGCCCACAGCCTGCTATTGTTTGGGCCAGCTCAAGTTCTGTTTATGGATTAAACGATAAGGTTCCATTTTCCGAATCGGATCAGACGGACCGACCCGCTTCTCTCTATGCAGCCACCAAAAAGGCCGGTGAAGAAATCACCCACACTTACAATCATATTTACGGGCTTTCAATTACCGGGTTGAGGTTTTTTACCGTTTATGGCCCTTGGGGCAGACCCGACATGGCTTATTTTTCATTTACCCGGAATATTTTACAAGGGAAGCCCATTACTATTTACCGTGGTAAAAACAAGGTTGATTTGGCTAGAGATTTTACTTACATTGATGATATTGTGAAAGGGTGTATCGGGTCACTGGATACATCGGGTAAGAGTACAGGGTCAGGTGGGAAGAAACGGGGCCCGGCAATGTATCGGATCTTCAATTTGGGTAACACGTCGCCCGTGACTGTGCCGATGATGGTGGGCATTTTGGAGAAGCATTTGAAGACGAAGGCTAAGAAGAATTTTGTGGAAATGCCGGGAAACGGCGACGTTCCGTTTACGAATGCGAATATAAGCTTTGCCCGGAGGGAGCTCGGGTATAAACCCACGACCCAGTTGGAAGCCGGGTTGAAGAAGTTTGTTAGGTGGTATCTATCATATTACGGCTACAATCACGGCAAGCCTGTATAATAATATTCGATTTCTTTTTCAATTATTTTGTGATTACTTTTTTTTTCCCGGAAAATGAGAAAAGGAGAAAAGAAAAAATTCGTGTAAAGAAGAGTCAATTGTATTCTTTTCTTGGGGATGAGGTGAAGGAAGAACTTTATCCTCGGCCAGAGTTTTGTTGTTAATTTTTAACAAAGTTTTTGGTACTAATTTGTCCCACATTGCTTCTCTTATTTGCCTTTTTTAGCATGATATGAGTTTAAATTTCATAATTAGCCTTTAAACTTTGACTTCAATTTTAATTTGGTCCATAAACGTTTATTTGTTCTAATTTAGTCACTTAGCTATTAATTTTTTCTCAATTAAATCTTTTTGTCAATTTTCACTATCAGATCAAATGGAAACATATGATTTAATGGTAGAAATTGTAGATCAAACTAATCTCCATTTGATATAATGGTAAAAATAGACAGAATGACTTAATTGAAAATAAATTCATAGTTGATGGACTAAATTGAGACAATTGAAAGTTCAGAGACCAAATTATCATTTTTCCCAAAAAGGAAAAGGGGGGAGGGGTTGACAAACATATTATTTATTTGTATTAATTGGTTTGGCGATTTATAACTGAACTAGTCATAATCCGTGTCTGAAGACACGATGAAATATAAAATTTAAACGTTTAAAAAATTGATCCCATTATACTGAAAAGTAAATATATATAAGATAAAGATTCACGTTGCTAACTAATTTATTATACAGATTAAAATGAGTTAGCCAATGAATTGATGAATCCAATTTCATAAGGGAACGTTGTCCCAATCCAAGGCCTAAATTCAGTTGTATGATCCGTTTGTGAAACCTGATTTCAACCTCTGTTGTGTAATCTAATCTTAACTACACAATTTTTATCTCCCTAGCTAATAAATTTTGGTCCAATGTTAGGCTACCTCGGCCAACTTTTGTGTTTGAGTGAAGTGTAGAATTATTGTTAAATGGAAAGTATTTTTGTAATTTAAAACCTACTACAAATTTCAAAGTTTTTCTCTCTGAAATGTTACACAATAGTGAAGTTATTTTTCATTTATATGAATTAAGGTATGCAATAGATGAATTTTTATTTTGAATTTATAAGGTCATCTCAAGTCTTGATTCAATATTTGAGTAAAAAAATTTAGTTTGATATAAAATACTCCAATAGAAGAGTATAAATTCAAATTTAAATGAGGACAAATTCAAATTTAAAGAATGATAAAATATGACCATTAAATTTTTTAAAGAGGGTAAAATGTGTTCATTGAAGATTTGAGCACTTTTTTAACTAATAATAAATTAACTAACAAAATGTTTAACTAATAATAGAGAATTTTTAATTAAATAATAAATTAATCAAGTTAGTGTCAAATACGAATAAATCAAAATTAATAAACTGTTTAACTAGTATTGTATAACATGCTAAGTTTTTTGTTATTTTTATCAAGTATTAATGCAATTCTTATATAATAAGGGGATTTTTTTTATTTATTTTTCTTATTATATGTATTAGTTTTCAAAAACATCTTTTTGGATGTTTCTATATTTTAGTCTTATTTTTAAAACAGAGCAATTAAAAAAAAAATCATTCATCAAACATATTTTTATTTTTATTTTTATTTTTGGCCATAAAATGAAAACAAAAACGAAAAAAAACAGAAACGGGTGGTTACCAAACGCCACCTAAATAGATGGCCAAGAATTGACAAAAAACCTAATTGTAATGAGGCATTCGGTGAAGGTTTAAGAATCAAAGGATTTAAGGATTCAAAACAAGATACACTAAACCCTTCTTTTTATCTATCATATAAGCTCATATCCCTCATTGTTCCTTCATAAGCCTTTGGATTTTCATTTTTCAACATTCTTTTCACAATTCCATCTCTTTTTCCAAAAAAAATTCTTTATTTCATTTCATCATTTTTCTTTTTCATTCATTCTTGATTGAAAATTTCACCTCAATTTCCCACACATATCAAATAAACACACATTTGGGGATAAATAAGGTAAGATATATACTTAAATGCTCGGCTTGGTTATTAATCGAGGTGAAGAAATGAGAACTCGTCATGGATCAATCACGGATACTTGAGACACTGCAATGAAAGAATAGGCTTAAGGCTCAAATAGAATTCAAAGACGGCCTAGAAACACCTTGCAGAAAGTAAGAACAAGTGTTGCTTTTTATTGAGATATGGCCAACTAATTACTCCTATACTCCTAACCAAAACTGGAGTAATAAGATTATTGAAAAATAATGGATTTGGAAAGAATATCATAAGCGTAAATGTATTATACCCCTCCAACCAGGATAAGTGCAATAGTCACAGGGTTTATAAATGCATCTCTACTATGGATGTCGAGCTTTTTCAAAACATGAATCTAATCTCATAAATCTCAACAGAAACTACATGCTCATTATGAACAAAGTTTGGGTTTCTAATACAAACATCACTATGATATTCAAGCATAGACTACAAGTATCTAGAGTACATCATGCAACCAATTCGGGTATCACATAGTATATCTAAATCACACAGCTTTTAAGGAACAACAAGTATTAGTCAAATAGATATATTTTTTTCAAAATTTTTTAAAAAATTTCAAATTTCTTTCAATTTTTCACTAAACTACAAAGAATATTANTACAAAATTGGGCTTTTCATACTCTGTACTCTGAAAAATTTTAAAATTATTATTTTATATCTTCAAAGATTAAATTTCTCACCTTGTACACTCAATGTATTAAAAGTGTTGCAATGTGACTCTTCTATTACTTTCGTTTTTTTTTTCATCAAAAGTCAACTCATTGACAGTGACAAAAAAACTAACAAAAAACTAATAGAAGAGTCACATNAAATTTCAAATTTCTTTCAATTTTTCACTAAACTACAAAGAATATTAAAATAAATAGGAATAGAAGCACAACCATGGTGCAACCCTCACCCCCCCCCCCCAACTTAAAATCTACATTGTCCTCAATGCAACAAAGATAATGCAATGAGGAAATAAAAGACGAGGAAAAGAGAACACCTAAGTGTAGCTCCTAGCAAACTAACTGAAAAATAACACAAAAACAAATTAGCTTAAAAGAAAATAACAAGATTATTTAAAAAGAAAAGAAGAAGTTATCTAACAAACCGAATATACAAAACTAGGGTTATTCCTAATGCAGATGGATGGTCCTAATATACAGGATCAAAAAGCTCTCTACAATCTCCTCCATTGATAAACCCTTTAGGAATGGTTTCAGTTGTTGGTCAGTGACCTTCAAAGTTTGACCATTCTTGGGGCTTTCAACCTCTACTACACCATGAGGGTAAACAATATGGACCACAAAAAGACCGGCCCAATGGGAGCGAAGTATTTCAAGAAAGATGTGAAGTCGAGAGTTGTATAAGAGTACCGTTTGTCCCGACTCAAAATTATTTTTCAAATTCAATTGATCATGAAAAACCTTGGTCCTTTCCTTATAAATACGGGTACTTTCCTTATTTGTTGTCTCAATCTCAAGCTCAATAACAAACTCAACCTCTCTATCTGGCGACAATCCCGATAACTCATCCGAAAATTCACAAATCACTGGCAAATCATATAATTTTACCTCATATTTGCTAGTATCTCTCACATATTTTAGATACCCCTGACAACCTTCTCTAAGTAATCTCCGAGCCTTGATTTCAAAAATTAGATTGTTATGTGTCAACTTCCGATCACCTTGAAATCTAAATTTTGATTCACCTAGTATTAGAAAAATAACTTATTTTCTAAAATAGTCCACCAATGCATGATAAGAAGATAACCAATCCATTCTCAATATCACATCAAAACCCTAAATATCTAAAGGAATTAGATCCACAAATAACTCTTGTGTATTCAAATTTATCACACAACTTCTATAAACACTATCCACATACACTACATCACCCACTGGCGTAGAAATAGCCAGACAACGGTCTAATGGAATAAAGGGTTGATCCTAATACATGCTAAATGCATCTGCAGCAAATGACTGTGTGGATCCAAGATCAATGAGAATGTGTACATTCCTACCAAAGATATAAATCATACATGTTACCACATTAGAAGAACATTTCCTTCTCTTTGTACATTTCCTGTGTACCCGTACCACCAGGTGTGACATTGCCCACGTATGATGTCCTAGCAGTTCCACTTGGACAATCTCGCATCACATGTCCCAACTGCCCACAATCATATCACTATAGATCCTCACTTGACAATGTCATCCCACAATCCCAAGTCATATACCTTTGCACTCCACACTTGAAGAAAGTTACACCTATTGCTTGGCTATTAGCTAATCCTTTATCTGGCTGTCCCACGGAGAATTTGGAAAAACTTTGACCTCGCAAGCTAGTTGATGCTCTACCATTCCCTGCACCTTTAGCTTGAGAGAATTGATATTACTACTTCTTTGATCTCGATGTTTGACCCATCGGTTGGAATCCCATAGCTGAATTGTTCAAGTCCTCCGGCTGACTCTCAAACATCTCTTTACACAACTAAAGCTTTATTCACCAAAGCTGAATAACTAGTTAATTTAAAGGCTGACAAATGAGTTCGGATTGGGTAATCTAACCCCCATTGAAACTTTTTTCATCTTGCCTCATTAGTTTGAACAAAAGTTATAGCAAAATGAGACAACGTAGTGAACCGTTTATCATATTTTGACACTGACATCTTCCCCTGAGTTATGTCTTAGAGGCATACTCTTGTTCATAGCAGTACAACTCTGAAAAATACTTGGTATTAAACTTTCTTATAAATTGATCACAAGTAACCCTTCTCTATACTGGAGCACCCTCACCAACGATTGGAACAGTTAACAATCGCTTTGTAGCCTCCCACCAAAATCGTGTCTCCTCCTTTAACATAAAAGTTGCCAAAATACCCTGTTGTTCATTAGTAGCGTCTACTACCTCAAAGATAGATTCCACTTGTTCCAATCAATCCACGGCTTTTAGAGGGCTAACTGTTCCCGCAAATGTTAGAGGACTCAATTTCATAAACATCTCATGCATCGTACCATGTGGCTCCCAATGTCGCATTGGTGGCACTACCCGTGCTGCTACCTATATTTATGTTTGTAATTCCACTAATCGATTTATCATTGTAGCCATCTATGCCACCATTTCAAACACTCTCTACACCATATTCAACTGATTTTGCTCCCCTTTCCTACCTTCTTGTTGTTGTCTCTCATCTCTCTCATCCATGGTAGGTGCATTAGATCCCTCCCTTTTAACTGGTTCTTGATCTACTCTTGGATCTATTATCACTTAATCGTACAGCAGCATATCAACATAAATAAACATGCATACATGTAACGTTAACACATTCAAATTTCACTCATCCTGACACCCTAAACTATCCACTGCTGACCTAGCCTCACGTCACGTGTCTACAGAACCTTATAAACCTAGGCTCTGGAGTCAAAATGTCACACCCTACCACAAATAATAGTACTTATTATCTATTTCCGATAGGTAGACCTCATTAACGAACCTATAACCAATTAACTTGAACACAATGATGGACAAACTCATGACAATATCATCATCATAACAATCCCACAAAAAGGTATACCCATATATACATTACTACAGATTTGAGCATACTCAACCACTTACAACAAACACTCACACTACCTTAACAACTGTACATATTTAAATAACCAAGTATCTTCTTAAAAATTAACAACTAGGCACACATGAAAAACATCCCTGACCTCCCCGACTTAGTAGTGAACTTCCCATAGAGTCTGGTTACCTGAAAAACCAAACTGTGGTTGGGTGAGCACAACATGCTCGATGAATGTACAATTTTATTAAACTAATAATAACAAAAACATACTTTGCACACCATCACTATATCATATAAAAATCAACATTGATTCAATAGCTTTCTTCAACTATCATCAGTTAACTATTGCAATTAGTCATAAATAAATAGTTTCATACATTATATATAATCGCCACTAAGGCTACTTATCTGCCACTAAAGCTACTTATCCACCACTAAGACATAATAACGCCATTAAGACTATATATCCGCCACTGAGGCTACTTATTCGCCATTAAGGCCATATATCTGTCACTAATGTCATACAATTGTCATTAAGGATATAGTCGTCATGTTCATACATCAATATCACATAGGCATATCTTAACCATTATCAACCACATGAAAAAGCACACTCACCTCAAGTGCAATAATATGACAGTTTGATTAACAGACGACACCCTTGGTGTAGATGTCGATGTCTCAGCTCCTATCACATATCATAGTAGACCATGAGTAAGTGCATAAAAATACACAAATTTTCAATGGTTAATTTTACCTTCCTTTAAATTTAATTTTATATAATTTTAAGTTTAAATTTATCCACTGAAGTTTATTGTGTCAAAACAAATTTTTTGCTTAAATGTTAACTTATATTTGAGTAAAAATTTAAGTCAATATTGAAGATGATCCTATTAACAATTTTTTGGATAATAGGCTTGGTTCAGTCTTGACGTGGGTCTTATTTTTTATTTTTTTATTTGATATATGATTGTGTTTAAGATTAAAAAAATAAAAATAAAATTATTTAAACTTAAATTTGAGTCTAAAAATAGTAATTTAAATCTGTCATCTGATTTTATAATATAAAATAAAATAAATTTTAAAACATTCATTCGATAACATTAAATAAATTCATCTACCAATTATCGATATCTTTGTTAAAACCATTTAGAATATTCAGTACCCATAATCTCGTATAACTGCCTAAGCTTGGTAGCATCAGCATGTACGAATCTTTGCTTTCGGAAAAACCCTATGCTACTCCGGAAAAAGCATTAACTGAAAGCCTGAAACGATAAAAAGAACATAACAAATGAGAATCGGAAGTCAAGTGTTGAGCGCTAACAAATCGATTTTAACATTACCATCACTGCTCGCTTCCTCTCAATTCACTTTCCGCTTCAAATCTTTCACTTCTGCAATTTCTTCTTCTTCTAGGGTTTCTCGAATGGCATCCGAAGCCCCTTCCCCTTCCGCTTCTTCATCGTCAGCTGCTTCATCTGCTATCGATTTTCTCTCTCTTTGCCACCGTCTCAAGGTACCGCGTTTACTTGTACTTCACACACATTCTGTGCATGGACACATTTTTATTGATGAACTATTTCGTTTTCAATTTCATGGCATTCAGTACAATTCTATATAGTTGCTCTTGTTTGTTTAATTTCTGTTCGTTGGTGTGCTCATTTTGAATTTATAGATTCCGTAACTTTTGATAGCAATGCATTGGTTTTTTTTCCATTGTCGTTGTTTTTATTTGTTTGATTTGTGTTTGTTTATTTTTATATGTGAAACTGATCAGTTTGAGTGATGAATTCTGTAAATCTCGATTACATTGCCTCTGGTTACTATCCCCAATTGTTGCTTTTATTTTCCTGATATTGGGAAAAAAAAGAAAGAAAAAACGATGACAACATTTGTTTCATTTAGTGTGACGGTGTTGAACTTGATATTGAACAGACGACAAAGAGAGCAGGATGGGTCAAAAGAGAGGTTCAGAATCCAGAATCAATCGCAGATCACATGTACAGAATGGGCTTGATGGCTCTAATTGCATCTGACATTCCCGGTGTTTGTAGAGACAAGTAGAGTTTTTTATTCTGTTTTGAGCTTTTTGCGTATATTTTGGTATTTATTACTTCTAACTAAAAACACAGTAGAACCTGAGAAATTGTTTGACTAATTTTAAATTTTGGACTTTCAGGTGCATAAAAATGGCGATTGTTCATGATATTGCAGAAGGTGAGAAGTGATAATTTCAATTTATTGTAGTTATGTTTTCTTGCCCTATACTTGATGAAAAGTAGAGTATGAAAAAGCACAAGTTTGAATTTGGTGTTTTTTCTTGTGTGTTTGTGAAATGAAGAGCTCGCATAGATTCAGTTGAATACATATGCTTCTATTCAACATATTCCATTTTTGACGAAGCCTAGGATCATGGAACTATATATGATGTCAAGTTCCATTTCTTAGTAGATAGGATTTTTTTTTTTTTTTGGGATAAGCTCAGAGGGGAAGTGAGTAGATAGGATGACGAGGTGGAAGGTGACTGATTCCCCACATGTTCTATGTGCATTACTAGTTAATTTTTTTATGGACAAATGCTGAAAACTAAATACATAGAAGGAGTTTGCTTGGGTTCAAAAGTAGTTATGGGTAAGAGAGTTGCTGCTACTTGCTAAAGTACTTGAATATTTGTAGCCAAAAACAAAAAGGTGCATGATGTCAATGCTTTGGCAAGTGTTCTTCGATGTTGGGATATAGGATACACAACATGTGGGAAGTGGGATGAGTTCCCCTCTTTTTTGTGGACCGGTCAGATTAGTGCCCTATTCACTAATCCGCATATTGACTTGGTCAAATGCACAGATTTTACCATGGATCTGTAGGTTTGTGTATTTTCTTCAATGTTTTTAGCTTGTGAATCAACCATGCAATTTGGGGGGTGGGGGTCAAACTCCACATTTGAGTTATTTTTCACACCGAATGACGAAGAATGACTAGCACTTTGGTGGTTATTAGAGGAAGTATAATTCTTAGTCAAAATAAGTATAACAGAGAACATAAAAATATGAAAGTACTTCTATTTTGTAGGCAATCTCCGCATTCTTTGGACAATATGACATTCTGGATCTTGCTTTTTTGTGACATCCTACTCCTGCCCTTGAGCTGTTGTGGTTTCGTAAGTTGGATGGAATTTTCTAATTAATCGAATATTGATTGTTCTTGATTCTCTTATGAGTTGCACGGGATTTGCAACAGGAAGGGTGCAAACAAAATTTTTTAGTGTTTGGAAGATGGTTTATTTGTCAAAACAATTAAGTTAACTTGACCATCCATACGCTACACTACCTACCTACTTGTGCCTCCTTCTAAACTCCCAACTTTGATTGTAAAATGAGTCTATTTTGGCTAGTGTTAAGGTTTCCTTGGCAGAGCAATAGTTTGTGGGAGTAGGGGACTGAGCACCTCTAGGGGCCTTTCTTTTTTCTTTTTTTTTGTATGCTAGCTCTTCTGTAGTCATGTGGCATTCAAAGTCAAAGTATCTGTGTTAATATGTCTATGTTTCTTGAGGTTGAGTTTTTGTACCTCATTCTTTGAAGTGTTTGAATAGCCATTGTTGGTGACATCACTCCTGCTGATGGGATTCCAAAGCTTGAAAAGAGTCGACGGGAGCAGGAAGCACTAGACCACATGTGCAAACTACTTGGCGGAGGGCCAAGAGGTACTGTTTGTCTCTCATTCTGCCTTGTTCAAGTGAATTCATCTTCTAAGCTGAATTAATGTAATGTTTCCATTTGTTGGTTGATAATTCAATGTTGCTTTGTGCAGCTGGGGAGATANATTTTTTTTTTTTTTTGGGATAAGCTCAGAGGGGAAGTGAGTAGATAGGATGACGAGGTGGAAGGTGACTGATTCCCCACATGTTCTATGTGCATTACTAGTTAATTTTTTTATGGACAAATGCTGAAAACTAAATACATAGAAGGAGTTTGCTTGGGTTCAAAAGTAGTTATGGGTAAGAGAGTTGCTGCTACTTGCTAAAGTACTTGAATATTTGTAGCCAAAAACAAAAAGGTGCATGATGTCAATGCTTTGGCAAGTGTTCTTCGATGTTGGGATATAGGATACACAACATGTGGGAAGTGGGATGAGTTCCCCTCTTTTTTGTGGACCGGTCAGATTAGTGCCCTATTCACTAATCCGCATATTGACTTGGTCAAATGCACAGATTTTACCATGGATCTGTAGGTTTGTGTATTTTCTTCAATGTTTTTAGCTTGTGAATCAACCATGCAATTTGGGGGGTGGGGGTCAAACTCCACATTTGAGTTATTTTTCACACCGAATGACGAAGAATGACTAGCACTTTGGTGGTTATTAGAGGAAGTATAATTCTTAGTCAAAATAAGTATAACAGAGAACATAAAAATATGAAAGTACTTCTATTTTGTAGGCAATCTCCGCATTCTTTGGACAATATGACATTCTGGATCTTGCTTTTTTGTGACATCCTACTCCTGCCCTTGAGCTGTTGTGGTTTCGTAAGTTGGATGGAATTTTCTAATTAATCGAATATTGATTGTTCTTGATTCTCTTATGAGTTGCACGGGATTTGCAACAGGAAGGGTGCAAACAAAATTTTTTAGTGTTTGGAAGATGGTTTATTTGTCAAAACAATTAAGTTAACTTGACCATCCATACGCTACACTACCTACCTACTTGTGCCTCCTTCTAAACTCCCAACTTTGATTGTAAAATGAGTCTATTTTGGCTAGTGTTAAGGTTTCCTTGGCAGAGCAATAGTTTGTGGGAGTAGGGGACTGAGCACCTCTAGGGGCCTTTCTTTTTTCTTTTTTTTTGTATGCTAGCTCTTCTGTAGTCATGTGGCATTCAAAGTCAAAGTATCTGTGTTAATATGTCTATGTTTCTTGAGGTTGAGTTTTTGTACCTCATTCTTTGAAGTGTTTGAATAGCCATTGTTGGTGACATCACTCCTGCTGATGGGATTCCAAAGCTTGAAAAGAGTCGACGGGAGCAGGAAGCACTAGACCACATGTGCAAACTACTTGGCGGAGGGCCAAGAGGTACTGTTTGTCTCTCATTCTGCCTTGTTCAAGTGAATTCATCTTCTAAGCTGAATTAATGTAATGTTTCCATTTGTTGGTTGATAATTCAATGTTGCTTTGTGCAGCTGGGGAGATACACGAATTGTGGATGGAATACGAAGAAAATTCTTCACTAGAAGCTAAGGTTGTCAAGGACTTTGACAAGGTATAAACTGCTAAGATACTTTGTACTTCTACTGATAATCTATTGTATGCAAACCTGCTAAGTGGTTGTATATGAATGTGGTAGAATTACTAGGGGTTATCCTTCATTTTTTACTAGCGTGATAGTCATACAAACTTCAACTCTACATAAACTTTCACTAAAATCACTGTTGCTTCTGCTGAATGAGGTTGTTAAGAGGATGGAATGTGCGCGAACCTAACACTGTTTATTTACTCAGGTTGGCTGCCTTTCTTCTTGATCCTTCGTTCTAACCATGATGGCCCCATCTTTTTGCCAACAATCCCATATAGTTGATAGGTCAGATAGGGAAATCTGTTCAAATTCTTTGTCCACAAATTTTGAAATTGGGGGCAGTCTCTAAGAAAATAGTTTGCAGTGATGTTGGGGCCAATTTTAAAACTATTTGAATTTAATTCAAGTTGAATATCGAAGGTTGTAGATATAGGTAGATAATGCACTGTAATGTTGTTCTTTTCTTCGTCTTTTCTTCTGTTGTATAGAAAGCCTTAAAGAAAAGGAGGTGCAGCCATGGTATGCTCAAAATTTGTAGAAATGATAGAATGTTCTTCTTATGATTATTGAGGGGCAAAAATATGGGGAAGAAAGAAGGTTAAATGGTATCGGACCAAGCTGGAACTGGAATATAAGCTAATGAAAAATAAGAACATACTTTCTAAACCAAGAGGTTCGTGTCGAAGAGAGAAAGCAAAGTACAACTCCCTAAAGTTATATCACCTTAACTTGCGTTATTGTAATGTGGAAAAAGATGGTAAGAAACCTGATTTCACATTCTAGAAGTTTTAGGCATGAAGTTGAGGGAATGAATTTAGGAAGGTTTAAGTGTCCATTGCACCAGGAAAAAGATGGTAATAAACCTGATTTTGGAGGGCAGAAATTTTAAGCATGAAGTTGAGGCACAGATTTAAGAAGTTTAGGGCTCATTGCTTGGTGCAGCGGGAGTTTGTAAAGAGCTAGAAGGGTGTTTATTGTATCTTATTTTTTCGGGAGAGAAGGGGGAGGAGGACACAAGTGAATTTATTTTATAAAGCATAAAAGTGGTCTATCAATATTTTTGATTAAGTTAGAGTAATTGAAGTCTTATAGAGATAGAGATAGTAGATGCTGGCAAGATATTGTGGTAATGATTTGTGTATCATATTTCTGTATCCTATTGTACTTGATGTTTTGGATATATAAGATAATGCACTTGATCAAGTTGATTTATTAACTCCTGTTTCATTCAGGTAGAGATGATACTTCAAGCCTTGGAATATGAAACCGGTAAGGCCAGATTATGCTCATTTTTTCTTAAGTACTGTTTTCTGCTGTCACCAATATGGAAAAATGAATCTTAGATTGGTTTTCTTGTTTTAAAATATACGACAATTTTTGAAATGGAGTGATGATAAACAGTTACCTTCACAACTTATTTCATTGTCCATCGTGGTCTTTGTTATGGTTCCACTGAACTTTAGTTTCTGATTTCAGATCCCTCGACCTCGATTTTAAATTTTCTTTGTAATTATGTCTAGACTGTTGTTGGACACAGACATTTTGTCTACAGTGGTTTTGTTGGCTTCTACCTTATTCTCTTGAACTAATCATTCACAAGGGCTGAAGTTTCATCTAAGAAGCTAGGGGATGTTAATCTTTGTTGAGTTGGGTTGGTATCAATCTGAACTGATTTCACTATTGTTTGGTTTTTAAATATGGACCAGAACAAACTCAGGCATAACTGGCTTGCAAATGAAACCATTCTAGTAACGGTCAGGCAGATCAGTTTCATCTGCTTTTCATATTGAGCAAACAGAAACTGAATTAGTAGTCTGTGTCATATAATCATTGACAGAAGTCTTCCTGATCAAATTCTAGTGAATGTCAGGAGTGAACACTTCCCTAGATAGCTTTTTTATTGGTGCAATGTGACAAAAAAATTTGAATGCAATACCATCTTTTCTCCAATTAAGTATTGGAATCACAAAATCCTCTATAAAGTTCAATTTTAATATGTTGATCTGAATTTGCCATCTAGGCCAGTATTTGTATTTGCTTGATGTGGTATGGCCATTGCCTATGTTGCAGCTATTTAAATTCCTTTTAAAGTGTGATTTGTCATTTTATATTTTACCTTGCAGAAAGACAAATTAGCGTAGGAAGTATACTATTGTTTGGTTTTCTATCTTAGTGTGTTTGGAACAAATTCTCTACCACAATGTGAATTGCACATTGTGGATTGTGGAATTCTATGGTAATAGTTAAAGTGGTAGCACTTTGTGATGACAAATGAAAGGACCAACTGTGCTGCCCGTATTTGTATGACCTTGCCTTGTTTACATTTCTAATGAGAAGAGAGAGTAGAAGAGAATGTGAGAGTGTAAGAAAAATATCTTGGCCGTCTCTCGCACCTACTATATATATGTATGCAATAATACTAAAATGACCAATATACCCTTTTGGGATATACTTATTACAATGATACCAAAACCCTAATTTATTCTAACAATCCCCATATCTCATAATCCCAACTTGGAAAAAATGGTGGTTAAACAAGTGCAACTCAACACTTTAGTAAACATATTTGCAAGTTGATTTTTAAACTTCACAAATGGCGTCACAATATCTCCACATAGAATCTTATCTCAAACAATATAACAATCAACCTCAATGTGTTTGGTCTTCTCATAGAGTACTAGATTAGAAGTAATATAAAGTTATGAAGCATGGACACTCTCGAGAACGTGACGTATCCGTGTCAGACACGTGTCGGATACCGACACTCTTCGGACACTCTCGAACACATGTATGATATTCTTTTATCCGTATCCATAATTAAATGCTAAATTTTTAATTTCGGACACTTTTTTTGTGACGTGTCTAACACTTCTTTAGAACGTGTCTACTACTAAACAATAGACATTTGTTGAAATGTGATTAACAAAATTTAAAAATTTGAGAACATATAATTACTAATACTAGACATATTAAAATCGTACTCCAAATATAATAATAAAAATAAAAAATTCATAAAAATTTCAAAAAAGAGGAATTGAGAAAATGAGAGCAATTATTTAAATTATATATTAGGTACACATTGTCTACAAAAAAAAATTAATAATTATTGACTATAATGAGGATGTTTTAGTCTACAAATTCACACAGATGACTAGATATTATGTTTTCTTATCATAAAATAATAATTTTTTTATGAATTGTATATCATTATCACTATATTTGTAATAAATTATATAATTTTATATATAAAATATAATTTTTTTGTAGCGTGTCTCTAACGTGTCCGTGTCCTACTTTTTTGAAAAATGTTATGTTGGCGTGTCCATGTCGTGTCCTATCCATAATTTTATCGTTATCACTATATTTGTAATAAATTATATAATTTTATATATAAAATATAATTTTTTTGTAGCGTGTCTCTAACGTGTCCGTGTCTTACTTTTTTGAAAAATGTTATGTTGGCGTGTCCATGTCGTGTCCTATCCATGTCCGTGTCCATGTTTCTTAGATATAAAGTATTGCCTGATTATCACAAAACAATTGTAAAGGACGTTTTGCTGAAATTTGATCTCTTAAAGAAAGTACGGCACTCAAGTTAATTCACTCGTCGTATATGTCATTGCTCTATACTCAGACTTCTACACTACATCGAGCAACTACAATTTGGTTCTTACTTTTCCACAAAACCAATTACCCCTTAAAATGGTACAATAGCTAGTAGTTGACCTTTGATCCGAGGGAGATCCAGATCGATCAGCATCTGCAAAACCAAATTAGGGTTTGGGTATCATTGTAAGATGGCAACCAATAAGAACATCACTCCAACAATGTTTGGGAACATGCACATGAAATAGAAGTGTTCGAGAAACTTTCAACAAATGACGATTTTTATTTTCTACCATCCTGTTCTGGGGTGTGAACACAAGAAGCTGATGAATAATACCCTTTTCATGAAGATAAGTGAAAAAGGGTTAGAACCATATTCTTTAGCATTATCAGACCGTAAAATACAAATTCGACAACCGAATTGAATTTTGGTTTCTTTACGAAATGTTTGGAATATTGACAGTATTTCATAGCGAGCTTTCATAAAAAATAACCATGTCACAGGAGAATAATCATCGAGAAATGTTACAAAATATGAGAATTTATTTGATGGAACATTCTTTATTGGATCCCACATATCAGAATGAATTAACTCAAAGGGACTCAAAACACGATTAATAACTCGAGACTTAAAAGACACACGATAATGCTTACCGAATTAATAGTCTTTGTAAGACACAGAAGATATAGAACTTAGACTAGGAACTTGATGCTTCAAAGCAGTAAGAGATGGGTGACTAAGACAACAATGCCACTGAAATGGAGATAACAATAACCAAAAGGCGTTGAGGGATGACTCAAAATCAAAGTAATATAGACCATCTTTGTCTCTAGATCCTGAAACACAAAAAAATAAGGATAAAAAGTGACAGAACAATTAAGAGACTTAGTAATCTTACTGATGGACATCAAACTAAAGGGAAACTTGGGTACTAATAAAATTGAGGATAAAGAGAAAATGAGACTCAACTGAGTGTGCCCCATACCAGAGACCTGAGATGAGGAACTATTAGCAAGTGTAACACTTTGCGGTGGAGTAATAGATAAGAAAGAATAGTATGCGAGCTAGTCATATGATCAGATACACCTGAACCGGTTTGATGACCCCAACGGATTGAAGTCCCAATCTCAATTAAATTGATCCAAAATAGGATTCAACTATCCAGGCAGTGAATATACCTAACCCGAACAGTTTTAGCTACACTAGTAACCAAACAAAGGGCTTCTCCTTCAAATATAACAGAAGGCAACGAACAGCTCTTCAAACACCAGAAATAGAGCTTCAATTGTGCCCTCCATGTCGACGAGAAATCCAATGACCAACGACTCACAGGAGCCACATCTGATGTTTCAACTAAGGCAAACAACATCAACAATACACAAAAGTGCAACACAATTATATCACAAACAAGGCAAAAACACTGGGACTTGAGCGACGAGCGAGTGAAGGGAAACTTGTAGTTTTACCAGCGACCAAACAACAATCACACCACGGGAACTCAACCATCACTCCTCAACAATTCCTCAAACATGATTTAGGATCCAAAGATCCTCATTCAACTTGTCGCAACTTTGGGATGAACAATAACCACAAACAATAAAGAAGGAAAGAGGAAGAGCAAGAAGTTAATAGGGGAAAGAGAAGGACCTATAACAGAGGCTCTGATACCATGTAATGAGAAAAAAATTAGGGTTTTGGGAGAGAGAGTAGAAGAGAACATGAGAGTGTAAGCAAAATATCTTAGCCGTCTCTCACGCCTACTGTATATATGTATGCAATAATACTAAAATGACCAATATACCCTTTTAGGGTATACTTATTACAGTGATACCCAAGCCTTAATTTATTCTAACAACATTCAAGGATCAAAATTTTGTGGCTACCTCAGAAACGGACACGCTTCATAAATGCTTCATAAACATAAGGAAAGAGAAAGTTTTGAAATTTTGATTTTGAAAGATTGACAAGACATCCGAAATATCACGAAACAGTTTGAAAAGCAAGGATTTCAATATTCAATTATTGATTCGTTTTCCTCCATAACTAGTTTCGGTTGTATTGGAGGAAATGAAACGAAAATTTGTTCCTTGGTTGCATCTATCTTGCTGCTGCATTGTAATTTCACATTGTTATTAAAAGAATTACTAGACATTATATTTGATGGGTTTTTTGCTGCATGTAATGTTTTACCTTTTAGGCCATTGTAGTTGTCAGGGTTAAAGGAGCTGCAAATTTTACACACCAATTGTTTCACCACTGATTGCCATTGTTACTCTATTTTATTTATTTCCGGTTAGTGATGGAAAAAATTATCCCGGTGAAGGTTTCCTATTGTGTTCACTACAAAATTACTTTGGAACCTAAGTCTACTCCCCCCCCCCCCCCCCCCCCC